ACAGACATGTGAACTGTTTGCTCAACATTGACTTTACCAACATAACTTTACGTAACATTTTCTTCAGAAACCTCTTAAGTATGAGAGAAAAGCAGTAAGATAGAAAATTACACCTCATTTATTTTACAAATAAATGTTTCGGAGATAATAATAGTGTTAAAAAGTTTAACACAATTATCAAAAAGTATAAATAAAAGTTTAAATATTTATGAAAATCAATATAAATTAATATCTTAAAAAAATCTCTATTAAAAGATGTAAATACTTAAAAAAAAGACTTAACAACCTTCATGCAGAGGACGATATTAATGTATGATAAATGGAGTCGTGGAATCTGAGATGTTCCACCCAGATGGAACATTAAATGTAAATAAAAGAGTTATTTACTGCCCAGTAGAAATCGCCCTCTTTGTAACTTCGATTTTTTTTTATTTATAAAAGAAACCACAATGTACAAACAGAAAACCCACATACAAAGAAAAACAAGAATACATACAGGATACACAGAATACAGTAATACAACAGTTAAAGAACCCAAACACAAGAATAATCAAAAGTTAAATACACATGATACAAAGAATATAACAAACCCCAACACGGGCACATAAGACAAAGCTAAAATCAGAATAGGACACATAACCAAGGCAAGAAACACAAAGCATTAATAACAGAAAACAGAACCACACAGGGAACTGTAAGTACAAAAACAAAGAACAAAAAATAACACATGCAAACGACCAGAAGGCAGTAAGGACACAAGCACATGCTATAAACCATCAAAACACCAAACACACCACTACATCAGCACAATAGCACAACCAGCCATGCATAAGACACACAGAGCCGGAAGTATAAAACCACACAAAACATATACAGAAAGACACGAACACATAAACACACACGTAAACCCCACATAAGCAAACCCATAAAAAAAAACGGAACACGCAGGAATCGGAAAACAAAACCCCCCCGACCCAGAAACACACACGCAACCCCACCCCACACTCACGCACCCATGCGCGAGCAACACCACAACACACAATAGTCAATGAGGAGGATATTTCTCAGGGAACTTCCACGACTGATATTTCCGCTTATAAGCCACCCATATCAAATACTCCAGTTCTGTAATAGGACGGCCCTCACGACACCGCGGGTACTCCATATACTTGGGGATCACCACATCCGGTGGAAGCGATCGCCTCCAACCACAGGACACCGAAGACGAAGAACCCGTCAGGGGAGGCAGGAACACCACCGCCGAGAAAGCAGGAGATACTGGAACAGCGGGCGGAGGCTGCCAAGGCGACAACACCGCCTCCGACAAAGCAGGAGACACAGAAGAAATGGCCGGAGACGTGGGGGGCGGCAAAACCACCGCCAACAAAACAGGAGACAGGAAAGGGGACACGGAACCCTTAGAGCGAGCAATTTTTTTCAATACCACCACCAGGTCGCCACGTCCACGCTCAACCTCGCAAGGGGGAACCACCCCCCAAGAGGAACTGGAACCATCCGACGCGGGCGACGCACCCGAAGCATGAGTCACAGACCCCACACAGGCCTCCACTCCCACAGCAGGAGCCACCCCAAGGCCCTCACCATCCACGGGACCCACATCGGCACCAGATGTACCACCCTCGCGCTCCACATAGGAACAGCTCTCAGAAGAAACATCAACACTCACCGCATCCTCACATTTCTCCACCCACGCACAAGGAGGCGAAGCACCCGTATCCATACATGAACGCTTGGGGACAGGCCGTTGGTCATCGGAGCTGTTACCCCCTGGTAGAGGCACCCGAGAGGAGCCGGCAGCAGGCCGCCCCACAACCGGGGAAACACGACCCCGCAGAATGTCAGCCTCAACAATACGGGGGACGAGACAGCCACCCACAGAGGAGACAGGAGAAGGAACAGGTGCGGCCGTAGAAGGGGAAGGGACCAACACAGGTTAAGGCGCCCGCAGGGACGTCGAAGGCGACAGAGGCGCAGAGTCGGAAACAGGTGCAGAAGCCGTCGGAAGCAAAGAGATAGACTGCAAGGGCGGAGCCGCGCTCACCACCACCACCTCGTCATGTTCACCACCTCCCGCACATGCCGGGCCAACAGCCAAGGAATGCAGAACCACCACTGGGTCAGCACGCGGCAGGGGAACATCCCCACCCACTCCATCATGAGGCGACAGGTTCTGCGCCACCAACAGGGTAAAATCCTCTTCCCGGAACAAATTAACAAGTGCAGCAGCGACTCCAATGCAATCAGCTGCCAGATGCCCCTCAATGCCACAACGAAAACATTGTCGAGGCTGCTTTTTTTTTTTTTTTTTTTTTTTACATGCAAGCATGCAAGATAAAGACAATAAATACAATAAAATATCAGAGAAAACAAAAACAAAATACAGAAGCTACCGGCCAGAAGGACCGACAGCACAGGACAATAATTAGCAAAAATGGAGGAACAGCATACATCAAGACAAATTAAAGAACAAAAACAATAACAAACAAGCAAATAATGTAAGCAAATAAACAAAACAAACAAACACCGGCCAGAAGGACCGACAACAAAACACATCAAAATTTAGAAAATGAAACATAACACAAGACAATGCACACACAAACAAATCATAAATATAAACAAAGGGAAAATTAAAAAGAAAACACAATACAACATGGTAATACAAGGTAATACATGAAGAGAATACACACTCTGCAAAACACCGGCCAATCAGCGGACATACTTGCCCGGGAACAAAGCCCGGGGGAAACGCACATTGAACGCCTCCCAACGTAACCACCCCCAAGGGTCTCGTACACCCACCGGGGACGCCATGTCATCCGGAACCCTAGCTACAAACACTCGCAAGCAGGGGACCCAAATGGTATCACTCCTGACGCGAGTAACTGCCACAATCCCCCACATCAAGGGAACACCCCCACCATGAAATTCCCCCGGCTCGTCATTCAGCAGTAACTCAGCAATCGCCGACCAGTGACTCGGTGGCATCACCGACGCCGGCAACACGTCCCCCAGGTCCCCAACACACACCCTCACAAGAGGGGGCTGGACATAGGACACCACCACCGGGGCACCAGCGGCCACGGGCACACCACCAGACGACTGCAGGGAATCAGAGTGGCGCGCATCCTTCCGTAATGTCACAATCAGGCCACGCCCAGCACCAGCAACCACACCATCCCTGGGAGCGGGAGCCACCACCTCCCACTGCGGAGTATCCCCAGGCGGAGAAGGAACGGAAGGCACCCCCGAGACCTGGGCACCAGTATCAGCAGGCACATGAACCTCTGCCACCACCAACCGTAGAGACAGCGACACATCCGGTTCCACACCGGCAACTCCCAAGGACCCACAGTCACCGAATTCCCCAACATCGGCCCAGGCAGACGACAAACGCCTGGAACGCTTGGGCTCCGGCCGGAGATCGTCAGAGCCGGAAGCGGACCCAAAAACACGGGTCCCACCAGCTGGACGAACTGACGCCCGACGCAGAACGGCAGCAGCCTCCACCACAGGGGGAACTGGCCCACACACAGCAGGAGGCTCCGCAGCCACCCCTGCACCCAGCACATCCGGGACCCGAGGCGAGAACACAGGGCCAGGCGCAGCAGCCGAAGACGAGAGAGAAGGCGGCGGCGCGTCACAACGATCACTAGGAAGGCCTTCAGGAGCAGCGGAGACAGTGACAGGAGCACGTAGACCATCCGATGGCACTGCAAGACCCGGAAGAAGTCTGTAACAACCGGAGGAACGTCCGGCGACGTAGGGGGAGCCGCATCCGCTAACTGAACGCTCACCTCTTCATCCCCGGAGACCTCCTCCAGAGGGAGCGGTGGGAAATCTTCTTCTTCCCGGAACAAGTTGACTGGAGCAACCGGATCCGCAGTGCATCCGGCAGCCTGATGCCCCAACATGCCACACCGGAAACAAGTACGGGGTTGCCGGGCATAATACACCCGCACGTAGTACCCTAAAAGTCGGACAGAGGATGGAATGTCCGACCTCAGGCGCATCCCGAGGGTACGAATGTTCGTCTTCAACCCCGCATATTTTCCAGAAGACAGCTTGTGCATCCTCACACTGACGACGGAGCCAAATCTCTGGAAGAAACGCCGGAGAAGGGACTCAGGGAATTCCATGGGGGCCCCATGGACGCTCACATACGTCACGGCACCACTCCGATCAGATATGGCCACAGAACCAGTGCCATCCAACAACTTCAAGGTACGGCCCTCGTACCGCCGGAGAAATCCACGGTACGCCTCCTCACCCACAAACTTGATGATCACCCGGCGAGCAGTCACCAGCTCAACCCCGTAGACCTCCTCGACCGGGACATGTAGCACGTCACACATGACCTGCTCAATGAGAGGATACCCTGCACGGCAGGTAAACTCCAAACCCACGGAGTTTACCCTCTCAACAGCGGGAAGATGGCCGCTCATCGTAAAAGCGCCACGTCAACACCAGGCAGGGACAGCAGGGAGGGTAGAGACACCCACCCCCTGCTGGCGAAAACTGCAACCTCCCCAAACTGCCGGAGCGGTCAGACGACACGTCTGCACCCTACGGCAGCTCAGGTGGGACTCATTCGTCGTGTGTTTGGTAGGAGCTAGGATAACTCACAGCTTCACAGTGATTCCATAGTACCATGAATCATTTGCTAACAGCAAGTGAATCATAGCGCCCACAACTGGCAGCAGGTAGGTAATTGCTGGCAACCCACTCATCGTGAAAGTTTATCTTTTTCCATATATTTAAGTAATAATTATAATGTTATTTATTACGAGGACCAAACCACACATCAGAAAATTATGAAACGACAACATTTCGGTCCGTCCGATCATTATCAGGTCGTGTAAAATGGACCAAAACGTCGTCTTTCTCCATTTTTTGATGTCATCATATCTTCAGCCACGTTATTGTTTCTCGTCGTCTGCATGTTATTTATTCTTTAAAATGCTGTTATTATATTGTTGCAGGAATGGGGAGGAGTGGTGGAGAGTTCGCAGCCGTGTACAGTCCTCCATGATGAGGGTGAAGGAGGTGCTTCACTACCTCCCTGTCATGGATCAGATTTCTTTGGAATTCATGGACAGGTGATGGACACTTATTCCAGGTGTTTCAAAGTAATATATATATATATATATATATATATATATATATATATATATATATATATATATATATATATATATATATATATATATATATATATATATATATGTCGTACCTAGTAGCCAGAACGCAATTCTCAGCCTACTATGCAAGGCCCGATTTGCCTAATAAGCCAAGTTTTCCTGAATTAATATATTTTCTCTATTTTGTTTCTTATGAAATGATAAAGCTACCCATTTCATTATGTATGAGGTCATTTTTTTTTATTGGAGTTAAAATTAACGTAGACATATGACCGAACCTAACCAACCCTACCTAACCTAACCTAACCTATCTTTATAGGTTAGGTTAGGTTAGCTGGCAGAAAAAGTTAGGTTAGGTTAGGTTAGGTAGGTTAGGTAGTCGAAAAACAATTAATTCATGAAAACTTGGCTTATTAGGCAAATCGGGCCTTGCATAGTAGGCTGAGAAGTGCGTTCTGGCTACTAGGTACGACATATATATATATGCTTCCTATACAGCTCTACTCAGGGGAAAGGAATCATTTCCTTGAGCTTCACTCCATATTAATGGTACTGCTTTCTTTCGACTCAACCAGTCTATCTGGTCATTAGCAGACTGTCACAACAGATTATGTCAAGCCCATGACGTTATCTTATTTGTGCTAATTCATTCTAATGGAGCCTAAGTAATCTTGATGTTTATATTGTCGCACTACACACAATAATAATTGTGGAAAATTTCAACCAAAATTATAGCATAACATGTCTGAGTAACGTAATATATAAGAGCACCTGGACCAGGCATGCTATTTGTAGAACAAGCAAAGCTCTCTCAAGACACAGTGAGTCCAGTCAGCATATCTTAACCATTTTGTGAACACCATCCCAGGAAGTCCGTCTTAATGGATCCAAATCAGGATATGTAATTACTTATAATAGTTATAAGCATATCATGGTAATACAACAAAATAAATGCAAATACCGAATGAATAATTGTTTAACAAAATATGTTTGGTTGAGGGGTCGGAATTCGAAAATATCAAACTTGCTCAAACTGTATAATATTTTTTTTTTCCATGAGCTACATGGTAAATGCACCAATTTATCCAAATGGATCAACATCGTAACATGAAAAACAAACGAAATAAAAAATAAGTAACTTTTATAAATAGATAACTGTCAATTTTCAAATTCAAACAGAAAACATTAAATTTTCACTAATTTGTCTTATATTCATTATGGTCTAAGAATGACATATGATGATTAATTAGTGGTGTTTAATTTACGTTTGGGAGTATAGTTTACTGTAAAAGAAACTGTCAATGTGGCCTTCCAAATATGCCACATATTTAGACGAAAAAAAGTTATAACCCCAAAAGTTAGAAGTTTATGAATAAATAAACAACACCACGTTTGGAACTAAGAACGTTGCATATAATATGTGAAAATGGTTAGAATCGAACAGTAAATTTCATTATTTTAAGGTCTCAAAATTTAAAATTTAGTTTTTAGAGAAAATTGAAGTGAAGTTATCGACAATGAATAAGGTCGTTCTACATTATAAATTTCCATATAAGTTTTAATAAACATGGCGTGGCTATGGTACTCGAATATGTGAAAGTTGTAGGTCAATATGTGTTGAAATGAAGTCAAGAAAAAATAACCCCTCCATAAAACATAATATAGGGATAAGGATAGTGGGTTAATACGGATAATAAGTATGCTTTATATGTAATAAGGCCCGCATCTGGTCCCCCATTCATTAATACTACCTGAAAAGACAAAGAGAATAAAGTTCGAAATTTGTAAATAAATCGTCCAAAAAAATAAGTCACAACTTCTGCCACCTGGCAGAAGAACTGGATAAGCACCTCCAAAGGATACCTGATCAACCAGGCTGTGACTCGTACGTCAGGCTGCGAGCAGCCGCGTCCAACAGCCTGGTTGATCAGTCCGGCAACCAGGAGGCCTGGTCGACGACCGGGCCGCGGGGACGCTAAGCCCCGGAAGCACCTCAAGGTAACCTCAAGGTAACCAGTGGCTGATTAACATGTTCACCAATTTCTTGCAAGCTTCACATACGTAGTAACGGATATGCATTCTCCAAGACGTAGAAACTACAACAAAATCAGGTCATAAACTAAGGAGACAAAAAAATAAAAAAACTGCCCACCCCCCAAAAAAAATTTTGGATATTAGTGGAACTAACAGGTTTTGGAATTGGGCAATGTATTTATATGCTATATACAAAATAAAGCATAATAACATCCTTAATCACTATTATATGTGCTGTTATGTATTATTCAGCAATGATAGAAAGGCATCAGCTGCATAGCCACTTTGTGAACCCTCCTTACTGCTATTCTTCTTTTTTGTGCATCAGGCAGGTGCTTGCATCTCTTTATTACTGCAATATCCTTCAGTTTCAGTAAAAAGAAGTTGTTCTCCTTATCATCAGCACAGTTTTTTTAATTAAATTCGTATAAAATCTATTTCTTAACATATTTGGGTGAAATTTTCAATACGCTGATGGCAAAAAATTGGATTTGTTTAACATTTTCCACAATACTATATATTTTTCAAATATTTTTGGAGACCCGACACCTTAACGAATGTATAAATGAATTCTTAAAACAGTAACATGGTCTATGCAGGGCACCTATATCCATCTTGGGGTGGATTCGACTAGTGTCCAGACGCTGACGCTTGAATAAACATTACTATTCCACCTCGTGGAAACATTCCATGGTTCTGCCATGGAATGGCAGAACCATGGAACCATGGAAAAAACATTCTGGTTCCGTCATGTTCGTGGCCTGAAGAGACTGTAAAATTTGTGGCCTGACGAGTTTGTAGGGTCTATTGCCTGAAAAGATTATAGGGACCCCATCCCTCCGCTATTTCCCTGTATCGGGCAGCAGGGGCGTATCCGATCCCACGATCGTCGTCGCCCCTAAATCAACACAACAACAACATTCCATGGTCGTACATGCTTAGTTTTAGCAGTTTTACAACTGTGGAACGCTAGTTGGTGGTGTAAATTATACATAAATGTGTATAAACATTAAGACACATGGTTTAAAGGGTTATAAGTGTGTCTTGCCATAAGTTTTGAGTGGAGTGTGAGTCAAACCTGTCACCTGAAGCCAAGAGCCGACGGAGTCCATTACAACAACACTTCAACATCAGTAGTGAACAACACTACAGCCTCTGGCCCAACAAGAGGGGTTAAATCTTAGTACAATAAGACAGAGTTCGTACCTGCATTTTAATAAACTAAGGGAGGTTGGTGGTGCAGTAACAGGCAGGTGCGGTTATAACATGACCTTACGAGCTCACCTCAGTAAGTAAATTACTTGCCACTAAAATAAAACTATACTAACAAGGTTAAGCATATCTAACAAATATCTTATACATTGCAATTGCCTAAAGATAAATTAAGTATTCATTTGCAATAGATAAATTCATAGCATTAAAGATTTAAAGAATCTTTTCATTGTTTATAATATAATTCTTATGTGGCTAGATACCAGATCAAAAGGATAGGCTAATATAATTAGTAACCATAGCAATGCTAGCTGCATTATACATATTCTTTTTATTTACTAAGTGGTAAAGTGGTGATTTTTCATCCAACAGGTAAATAAAAGTAGCACAATTCCTGTTGGATCAGCCTGAAACTGAGACACTTAGGGAACATAGAGCATAGATACAGTCCACTCTCCCACGAAGAAATCAATAGTTTCCTAGTGGCCTCTTGATATAACTATATTATCGCTTTAGACAGTTAAGTTGCTGTTATGTTAGTAGTTAGATCTTTATTTTAGGGAATCTGAAAGTTGAAAAAAAAACACAATATCTACTATATAACTCATTCATTGTTATTGTCATCCTTGTACACAGAGATGTACAGAATACACCACAAATTAGTCCGGAAGCTTGTAAATCAGTTAAGTTTTTACAACAAACTATGGCTTGTAATCGGAAGCTGGTAAATGTTGAAATGGAAGCGAATATTGCCTTGCGAACCACAGTCATGCTCATGACACCTGGGTTGCCAGGAAAACACAAGAACAAATGATCGATCTGCAACTGTTGTTTTTAATCAATAAAACAATAATTCCCCCTCAGAATTGCATTGCATCAGAGACAGTTTGCAGAGATGCCAAACTACTTCCAGAATGAGTTATACAAATGGGCTCTTGAGTGTACGTAAACCATAATTTTACTAATTACAAAAGTGTTTTATATTGCATATAATTTAACAATTTAATCAATTAATTAGGATGCTTAATACAAAATATAATTACTTTAGAAATGTATGAGGTGTGTGTGTGCTTACTTCAGACACATTAGTTTGGGGTTCGTTGTTAATTCACATTGCAAATTATTTTTATATAATTTTTATTGTTTGTGTCAACAGCTGTTGGTTCCGTGGCACTGAATCGTCGGCTTGGGTGTCTGGCACCGAACCTGGCAGCTGACTCAGAACCCATGAAGCTCATCAAACTGACAAATGATATATTTTATTATTTGAGTGAAGTAGAATTCAACATTCATTTTTGGAGGTTGATCCGAACCCCGTCCTACAGGAAACTCCAGAAGGCGCATCAGGAATTCCTAGAGTAAGAGTTCAGTTATCAAACTGTATTTACTATGCTATTGGAAAAAAGAAAGTCTAGATGCAATATTATAATTACTTGCCAGTAAAATAAAACTATACTAACAAGGTTAAGCATTTCTAACAAATATTTTATATATTACAATTGCCTAAAGATAAATTAAAATATTCATTTGCAATATAAAAATTCATAGCATTAAAGAATTAAAGAATCTTTTCAGAGTTTATAACATAATTTTTATGTTGAAATATATTATTAATTAATAATATAAAAGATCTGAAATACTGTATCTGTTTCTAAAAACAATTGAATGTCTGTTTGTCCGAGAATGACGGCTAGAGGCCTGAAGCCAGCCTCCCGGTACGTTGCATGGTGATCAGTGACTGGACGGCGAGTGTCATAGGATGGATGTGGTCGACCCTGATGCTCCTCTTTAAGAGGGATCAGCTCCTATTCCTAATGCCAGCGACACCTATGAAGAATGAAATATGGGTTTATTTGTCTGCAGAGGCTTACAATATATTTTATTGAAGTTATCGACGTTGAATCAACATCGACGACATTGATTTAACGTCGACAATGTTGAATGTTGCTCATTCATTTGTTGCCCAATGGGAGACAGAACGGGAAGGAGAGGTGAAGAGCAGGAGAGAGGGAGGAAGTATGAGACGGAAATAGAGAGAAATATCCTAATTTTCCCTGGAATACAACACGCCAAATTGTTTAATAACCAGGTACTCATTCACTGCTGGGTGAACAGAGGCTACAGTTAAGGATGGCGCCCAGTAAATCCTCCCCGGTAGGAAACGAACCCAGGCCAAAGCGTTCGCGAAACGTCAGGCGAGTGTGTTACCAATTCACCACTGGGACTGCTTGAAGTCATGAAATCATTGAGGGTTTCTTCATCGCTGTATCCATCAATACTACACAAGACCTTCATCTCTGTAATTTTAACTATCTTTTCTATAAACAACTTTTTTCATCTTTGTTACAAATTACCTTCATCACCTAAAAACGTCTTTATTACCATCGGCCCCTACACTTACTAGGGGCCTCGTAGCCTGGTGGATAGCGCGCAAGACTCGTAATTCTGTGGCGCGGGTTCGATTCCCGCACGAAGCAGAAACAAATGGGCAAAGTTTCTTTCACCCTGAATGCCCCTGTTACCTAGCAGTAAATAGGTACCTGGGAGTTAGTCAGCTGTCACGGGCTGCTTCCTGGGGGTGGAGGCCTGGTCGAGGACCGGGCCGCGGGGACACTAAAAGCCCCGAAATCATCTCAAGATAACCTCAAGATAACCCTCATTGCTAGTGTAACTATCACTACACGCAAACTTTATTATTACACCTATCTGCACTATTCACAACCATCATAATTAAAAAAAAATTTACTAACACCATCTGCAGCATTGTAAATATCCTAACTTAACCAATATGTCATCACCGTAACTGTCTTCAGTACACACAGACTGCATCACTGTTACTATCTTTGCTGCCCACTGTTTTCACTGTAATCATCTTCACTACTCAGACATCATGATCAGGTACCCAGTATTGTACTGGTGACGTAAGCCACATCTTCACTACACAGTCGTTAAAAGGTTGGCCAAAAAGCTTGCGCCATTTAAGTGTTGAACATTCGTTTTACCTGTCAATATCCGAATTCTGTAATGCTGAAATTCTATGGACTCGGCTGCCAACATTTTGTCTTCATTTACCACATAATGGACCTGTACGGGAGCTGACCCTCCTTATCGGTGGTCAATGGGGCCCTTAACAGTTATTTCCTGACCAGCATACAACTCTTCCCTAATATCCACCAGTCACAGTGCAAAGCTTAATGAAGCTAGCCCCAAGCATCTGGCCAACAAACGTAGATAAACAAAATATAACAGCCTGAGTGTAAATGGGCTGACATTCATTCTCTTTAATATAGTTAACACATTGTTATCTCAAGAGTTCCAGCTTTTCATGTTATTTATATTGTAAGGTTGCTAATATAGTGAATATACAACACAGTGAATATGTTATTGTACAGAATTGCTGACAAGAACATACGTGAGACAGAGGCAGCGCTGCAGGCTCAACCTGCCAGTGAAGAGCTGGACCTGACGCTCATGGAGGCTCTACTTCTCAAGCCAGGACTCTCCCGCAAAGATGTCGTTACTCTCATCCTCGACATGCTCTTCGCGGGCATTGACACGGTGAGCATTGCTGGAGTGTAGTTACCAGTCACTTTCCTCAACACGAATTTCCAAATTTGTTGCTTTACCATAGTGTTGTAACAGTATCGAGTCAGTTGCGTTACAGCGCATGTGGGGAAATATAACTTTTCACATTCATCATAATTAAACAATTTTTTTTTAATAGACCAAGTGTTTAGGACAGCTGTTTCTGAGATTATATCCACCCACCTGAACTTCTTAGTGGTTCTTAACGGTGCATAAAGGCGAAGATAGTTATACATCGTTTGTGTGCAGTGTGATAACAGCAAGTCTTTGTCGTTCTAAGAGTATATTATGTTGAGCATATTAGTGGCACGAATATGTGGGTGTACAATGTTCCACACGGTCTAATACATGAATGCAACAATTAACAACCATTATTGCACTGGAAAAACATTAAAAATATAATTTAAAAATAAACAATTTTCAGCACCCGCAAAAATTCTAGCTTGTGGATACTTTGTCGATGAACACGATTTTATGATGTCATTGAGGTTACATAAATTCATTACACTCAACTTAATTACGACTTTTAAAGTAAATTTTTAGTGATTAGGATTCTTTATATCATCATATGATGGACAGAATATTTGTTGCGCACACAAGGAATGTCTCCTGTATTGTCTGCGCAGTTCAGGGGCTATGAGAGTCCCAGCAAGGTGAGAGATCCCAGGCAGAGTAGTCCTAGCAAGGGTGAGAGATCCCAGTAGAGTAGTCCCAGCAAGAGTGAGATCCCAGGCAGAGTAGTCCCAGCAAGGGTGAGAGATCCCAGGGAGAGTAGTCCCAGCAAGGGTGAGAGATCCCAGGCAGAGTAGTCCCAGCAAGGGTCAGAGATCCCAGGCAGAGTAGTCCCAGCAAGGGTCAGAGATCCCAGGCAGAGTAGTCCCAGCAAGAGTGAGAGATCCCAGGCAGAGTAGTCCCAGCAAGGGTCAGAGATCCCATGCAGAGTAGTCCCAGCAAGGGTCAGAGATCCCAGGTAGAGTAGTCCCAGCAAGAGTGAGAGATCCCAGGCAGAGTAGTCCCAGCAAGGGTGAGAGATCCCAGGGAGAGTAGTCCCAGCAAGGGTGAGAGATCCCAGGCAGAGTATTCCCAGCAAGGGAGAGAGATCCCAGGGAGAGTAGTCCCAGCAAGGGCATAACAAAAGACCAACACTACTGGTCTCTGTGACTACATCATGTCTCTGTGACTGCATCTTTCCCTTCTGTGACCTGAACTGCTTATTTTGTGTTCCCTGTCAACTTCTACTGTTTGAGTTAAAGTCCATCGTTGCCATTCTATTGGTGTACTCTAAAAAGTACAAGTTCTTATCAAATGATAAAGCTACCCATTTCATTATGTAAGAGGTCAATTTTTTTTATTGCAGTTAAAATTAACGTAGATATATGACCGAACCTAACCAACCCTACCTAACCTAACCTAACCTATCTTTATAGGTTAGGTTAGGTTAGGTAGCCGAAAAAGTTAGGTTAGGTTAGGTTAGGTAGGTTAGGTAGTCGAAAAACAATTAATTCATGAAAACTTGGCTTATTAGGCAAATCGGGCCTTGCATAGTAGGCTGAGAAGTGCGTTCTGGCTATTAGGTACGACATATATATATATATATATATATATATATATATATATATATATATATATATATATATATATATATATATATATATATATTATTTCGTATATTCTGAATCGGCTCCAAACTTCGTCAATTTCACACAGCATGCAGAAATATGGAGATATTGGCTCCTTGTATATTAAATTATGAATCTTCATGCTTATTCCCAATCGTGGGATTGTAGGAACGTCAACAGAAAACGATGTTACATTGGAATGTGTATGGGGTATATTACTGCAAACAGAATGGATATAGGGTCGTGGTAGTGATCCCCATACCCATCGTGTGGTCTCCTGGTTCAACCTTGACGACGAGCGGACGTCTGGACACCTCCTCCGCTTGGGAGCCGCCGGATCGGGTGCTGTTTTCGCGTTTTGTCTTTGATACTGCCGTTTGGGATCCCTATTCAACGGCCAGGTTGTACGACGCCTGGCGCACAAATTGCCTTGGGTCACAGGACTGTTGCTAAATTTTTTTGTGTGTGTTCTGGCTGGTTCTCCCGGCGAAGTGACGGTGTTCGGGGGCCGGCTTGGCCGAAGGGTGCCGGGGGTTGACGGGTCTTGGTGGGCCCCTGGTGTGCCCTCAGTCGTTGACGGGTCTTGGTGGGCCCCTGGTGTGCCGTCAGTCGTGGTGGGCGGCTGGCTTCTGCTCTGCCGGAGGGTACTGGATGACTTTTGCGTTTGAGTGGGGGGCCAAATTTTTGGTTTTACTACCCAATGTTCCCTGTGTGGGGGGGGGGGGGCTGGTGCTTGTCCCCAATCATCTGCCTGTCAGCGTTTCTTTGCCGTGAGACATATTATAGTTTCTGGACATTGGTGTCACTCGTATCACAATTTGGTTACGAGATTCACCTTTCCGGGCTTCGTGATTAACCTATCACTGGTACGCCGGGGCGCATCCGATCCCACGAGCGTCGTCGCCCCTAAATCAACAACAACAACAACATACCCATCATATGGGTGGTAGTGGATCCATACCCATCCTGTAGGCAGTATTGGACCCTATTCCCAACCTACAAGTGATAGCTAGTGGTCTCCCTACTCATCCTGTGGGTGGTGGTGGACCCTGTATCCATCCTGTGGGCGGTAATGAACCCCATATCCATCCTGTGGGTGGTATAGTGGACCCCATACCCATCCTGATTGCGGTAATGGATTAATACCTATCCTGTGGGTGGTAATGGACCCCATACTCATCAGGTGGGTGGCAGTGGACCCCATACCCATCCTTTTGGCGGATGAGGACCATATACCCAACCTGTGAGCGGTAGTGGACCCCATATCCATGCTGTAGGCGGTAATGAACCCCATGACCATCATGTGGCCGGAATGGGGTCCACTGCCACCTTCAAGATGGGTATGGGGTCCACTACCACCCAAAAAATTGGTATGGGGTCCACTACCACCCACAGGATGAGTTTGGGGTCCACTAAAACACCACAGGATGGGTATTGCATCCACTACCACCCACAGGATGGGTATAGGGTCCACTACTACCCATAGGATGGGTATGGGGTCCACTACCGCCTACAAGATGGGTATGGGGTCCACTACCACCCACAAGATGGGTATGGGGTCCACTTCTGCAATATAAACAGTTGGAACAGACAAATATGGACTGGAGACGCAGATGTACTAGATTAAAGCTTGAGAGTCCATTAATAATTCTGGAATTTTGTAATAAAAAAGGACTATAGTAGCTAATATTAATGTGAAAATATTTAAGTGAGTAAATTTACGTTTAATTGATAATTAACAAAGTTATCAATTTATGAAGCAGATAGACAGATTTTAAGTTCCAAGTTTATACAATATTGTGAAATTAAGAGTCTATGTAGTAACAGTAATTGGTAAATCATAAATATTGTAAGTTAAGAATTTGATGCATGTGTGTGTATGTGTGTGTGTACTCAGCTATTTGTTCTCACTTATTTGTGCTTGCGGGGGTTGAGCTTTGGCTCTTTGGTCCCGCCTCTCAACTGTCAGTCAACTGGTGTACAGATTCCTGAGCCAACAGGGCTCTATCATATCTACATTTGAAACTGTGTATAGAGTCAGCCTCCACCACATCACTGCCTAATGCATTCCATCCGTTAACTACTCTGACACTGAAAAAGTTCCTTCTAACGTCTCTGTGGTTCATGTGGGTACTCAGTTTCCACCTGTGTCCCCCTTGTTCGCGTCCCACCAGTGTTGAATAGTTTGTCCTTGTTTACCCGGTCGATTCCCCCTGAGTATTTTGTAGGTTGTGATCATGTCTCCCCTTACTCTTCTGTCTTCCAGTGTCGAAAGGTGCATTTCCCGCAGCCTTTCCTCGTAACTCATGCCTCTGTGTGTGAGTGTGAGTGCTATTACCTAAGTGTAATTACTAAGTGTATTTACTTAAGTGTAGTTACAGGATTAGAGCTACGCTCGTGGTGGCCCGTCTTCCCAACACTCTTTGTCATATAACACTTTGAAACTACTGACGGTCTTGGCCTCCACATCTTCTCACCTAACTTGTTCCAACCGTCTACCACTCTGTTTGCGAAAGTGAATTTTCTTATATTTCTTCGGCATCTATGTTTAGCTAGTTTATATCTATGACCTCTCGTTCTTGAAGTTCCAGGTCTCAGGAAATCTTCCCTATCGATTTTTCAATTCCGGTTACTATTTTGTACGTAGTGATCATATCACCTCTTTTTCTTCTGTCTTCTAGTTTTGGCATATTTAATGCCTCTAACCTCTCCTCATAGCTCTTGCCCTTCAGTTCTGGGAGTCACTTAGTAGCATGTCTTTGTACCTTTTCCAGTTTGTTGATGTGCTTCTTAAGATATGGGCACCACACAACCGCTGCATATTCTAGCTTGTTCAAGTTCAAGTTCAAGTAAGTTTATTGAGACAAGAAAAAATACATCTCAAAGGGATAGAGTAGCTTAGGCTATTTCTGCTTGTGTGTGTGTGTGTGTGTGTGTGTGTGTGTGTGTGTGTGTATATTCACCTAGTTGTGCTTGCGGGGGTTGAGCTTTGCTCTTTCGGCCCGCCTCTCAACTGTCAATCAACTGTTTACTAACTACTTTTTTTTTCTTCTCCACACAACACACAGGGAGCCGGTCGGCCGAGCGGACAGCATACTGTACTTGTGATCCTGTGGTCCTGGGTTCGATCCCAGGCGCCGGCGAGAAACAATGGGCAGAGTTTCTTTCACCCTATGCCCCTGTTACCTAGCAGTAAAAATAGGTACCTGGGTGTTAGTCAGCTGTCACGGGCTGCTTCCTGGGGATGGAGGCCTGGTCGAGGACCGGGCCGCGGGGACACTAAAAAGCCCCGAAATCATATCAAAATAACCTCATGATAACCACACACACACACACCAGGAAGCAGCCCGTGAAAGCTGACTAACTCCAAGGTACCTATTTACTGCTAGG